TGACTGACACTAAACCCGTGAATTGCTACTACAAAATCAGAGACATACAAGTGTAGTAGGGTACAAAATACTACACTTCCGTGACACAAAGCTGAAACAACAAGACATACAAGTGTAGTATGGTACAAAAGACTACACTTTACTCGTGACACAAAGCTGAAACAACCTCCTCCTGCTACTAAAACCCGTGACCTGCAACAAAACAGAACAGAACAAATTAGAAAATATAACTTAGAAAAGTCAAACATTTAAGTTATAATCCTAAACAGAGAACTAAAATTAACAAGCATAATCATTTATACTAACCAACTCAAACCATTTCACTCATGAGTTTGTTTTTCAAGGACTCTTCGACATCAGATAACGGTTCTTTTTTAGCAAGTAGTCGTTCCACTAGTTTTCGTTTGGAAATGTTATCTTTCATCACTAGGAGAGTCTCTAAGTGATCAAAAGCTGCTTCCTTGCCATGCTTCTTGCGCTTGGCCGCTTTGGCAGCCTTTACACCAGCAGGCCTCCCCTCCTCCGCGCTAGGAACCACGTCAACGTCCTCAGCTTCCTTTCGTTTCTCCTTCGCAGCTTGTGTGGGCAACGATGTTGAGCGCCACTTCTGATCGAACCTGAGTCCCCCCCACGCGTGTTCAAGGGAGAAATTGGCACCGTAGTCATTCAAGAAGATGGTGTGAGCTGCGGACATGATATCATCTTCGTTTCTCCCACTTGCTACATCCTTCACCGTCGCGTCGTAGCAACCAACAAAGTTCGACACCTGCTCATTCAGTCTCCCCCACCTCTGCTTACATTGACTCCATTCTCTAGGAGCAGAGCCACTTAGCTGACAGCTTTCATTGAAATACGCCTCTATCCTCTTCCAAAAGGCTCCGGCCCTCTGCTCGTTACTAACTATCGGATCTTTGCTGGTGTTTAACCATGCACTGATCAGAAGAAGGTCTTCTCTTACAACCCACTTCCTCCTTTCGAGTGGTTTCACTAACCCGAGAGACTCAGCAGACTCTATTGGACTGTTTTGTGAAGCCAAAAGGTTAACAAAACCGGGAGAATGAACGGAAAATGGATCCATGGTTGGTTTTTGGTTTATGTTTCAGGTTTTAGGTTTAAGTTTTGTAAATTTTTAGAGTAGATTTGCTATGTTTTTAAACTAGATTTTCTATCTGGATGAAGAATTAAACTTTCCTCACCTACCAAACATTCATTACGAACTTACCAAAAAAACATTTACACAACTCCTAGTACTAGGACAGCAGTAGTTAGACATCAAATCACTCAATTTAATTTAGGTTTTAAACTATCACAGCAACAACCAACTACTATTTTTTTAAAGTTGTAGTTATAGTTTAAAACTATAGTTTGTTAAGTACTCATGAACCGAACTACTATTTTTAAAAAGTTCTAGTTATAGTTTACAACTATTGTTTGTTAATTAACAACACATGAACCGAACTACTGTTTTTTTTTTTAAGTTCTAGTTATAGTTTAAAAGTAGAGTTTCAAAATTAACAACACATGAACGAACTACTGTTTTTTTAAAGTTCTATTTATAGTTTGGTTTATGTTACCTTTGCCTAATTCATTGGGAGCATATCTTCTCCAGGAAAGAGACCTTCACCGTCAGGTAATCCACCTGAGCTGACAGGATTTTGACCTCCTCCTTTACATGTAAATACGAAAGATAGGCTGATGTTAGTGACTAAATAATTAATCAAACTATAACTAAAAGGTATGAGACAGTAATCAAATTTCACTAACCTCAAGACTCTCAATTTGTTTAGTGAGATTTGACACCCCCTTGATCACCTCCTCAGCCGCTTCCATTCGCTTAGACAGCCTTTGTATCTCCTCCTGAACTCCATTAACCCAAGGCTGCCGATAATGGAAGCCATCATCTTTCCATACAACAACAACCAGAAACAAAATCATCAAAAACAAAACTTAAATAGAACATAAATATAAACTTTATTACAACATAAACATAAACATAAAACCTTAATAAGAAAGATGAACCATACCTCGTAGTTCTTGCACGTGAAGAACCGCTTCCCAGGAAGCATGTCCAAGGCCTCCTTCCCATTGACCTCGTCAATTATTCTGCCGCCGCATGGACACCGCCTTGGAATGCCGTACGCGGAATCGGCGACGAACCCCATCATATTCATGAACTCCTTTTGCCTCTTTGAATGTCTTCTTTCATCTTCGTGATCCATCTGTAACAGAAACATAGAGTATTAGAACATAAAAACAACTAAATCGAGTTTAGATAACATATAAAAAACGAAATCCAAAGGTTAGCAACTAAATAACTAAACACCCTAAGCAATTTCAATCCTCTACTCGAAACCCCTAAATCGATCTCAAATCACCGATAAAAGCCCCTAAATCAATCGGTATTGTCGATTTATAACTCTAAATCGATTGATTGAAAACCCTGATTAGAAAACCCCCAAATGGAAAATCTCTCTAATCTCTCTCGAGCAAGAAATCGACTATATTCTACGGTGAATCTACTCAGAACTCACCGCACCTCTTCGATAAGTCACTTCGGCAACGATAAAAGGGAGAGAAGACGGAGAGAAGGTTTCGATCTCGGCGTCGCACCTTGAGTCGCCACAGAGAAACTAACCCTAACTTTTTTTCCCAAAAGTGAAAAAATGAGCTAAACACGGGGAAACCCTACTTTCTTCGCATACGCCGCATTTTGGACGACCCAACAACAAGCCGACGCGTGGCTTGAACCCCAACGATACGGGTTCATCGCTAAGGGGCGGATCACGGAATTAAGCCCTTTTTAAAAAAAAAATGACCACACCCTATGAACTCGGACCTTTGAACCTCTTTACACTCTCTAATGGGGCTGCTCTAACAATGCATAAGAAAACACGCCTAAACATCAATAACTGTGATGAAATGTGAACTTAAAGTCGACAATTAGAGAAATATAACAGACCTAAAAAATAAATAAAAAAAGAAAAAAAAATCTTGTCATTTTATCTTTGAAATTTCACTGATTTGACAAGATGACTCTATTTCTTATCTAGTCCAACGACTCTCATATTCCCTATATGAGTTCATTTCTAGTGATTTGTGGGTTGGCCACTTGCCTATTAAGAAGTTTTGGTATATATATATATATATATATATATATATATATATATATATATATATATATTTTTTTTTTTTTTAAATCTTCTATAATATTTTTATAATTTATAATAACATAATTATCTATCATTATAAACTTTACTATAGTAAAGATATCGATTACTAATCATCTTTTTATTCCTTATCCCTAGACATATTCAATATGGTAATACCAAACTGCACCAAACTAAAATAAACAATATGGTTTGAATTTGGTATATACCTTATAAATAGAAGGAAATGATTATACAAAAACCGTAAGATTTGGATTTGGTTAAGTATATAACCGATTAAACCAAATAAACCGAATAAAACCAATCAAAATAAAAACATATAAATATATATATTATATAATGTACATGATAACTGATTTCTTATATAAGTTAATTCTTTTTGTTAATAATTAATACCATATACTTTTACATTGAAGAAATTCTAATTTGAAAAACATTTAAACAGTAAAAAAATTACTCAACAGCAACTGAATGTTTTTAACTTCTTATTCTTTTGAAATGAGCTTTTTCTTTTACTTTTTATTTTTATTTTTGCTATTTAATAATTAACAGTGAATGTATGTTTTACTAATTTTCTTTTCTTTTTGTTTAAGTATTATCTAATTTGATTTTATTTAATTTTGCATGCTTTAAGAAATTGAGAAATTAGATTGTAGCATGAAATTCCTTTGAAAGAACATAGAAGACAAGAAAAACTATAAAATAATGAGTTATTGATTATTTTGTTTATTATTTTTTGACATTCTATTATTTATGAACAACCGACATTGTTGTAATAAATGATAGTTTTGACAACATGCATATTTAAAATTCATATAATATAAAACCAAATCAAATAATAATGTTTAATGTTATAAACCCGAATAAACCGAAAACTGATAGTATAGAAACTGAACCAAGCTAGATTAGATGGTTCTAATATGGTAACTACTTTTTATAAACCAAAATACTAGAAAAACAAATCAAAATCGAATTGAAATCCGAATTGAACAGGCCTAGCTACGCCGTATCCGAATGATTATCTCACTCTTGAATCATTTGGTTGTACTTATTGTATTTAATAATTGTACAAAAATCTATACAACTATCTAAGTATAAACAAAGCAACTTTGGAGCCTTTTTATCATAGAGTTTCTCAAAAATTAGTTTAAAAATCAGTTTATTCAATTTAAATTGGTATCTTTAAGGAATTTGAAAGTTTCTCAAACGAATTCCTTCCACATTTATTTTTATCATTTTATTAAATTTAATTATAAACTACCTTAATTTGTGATTGAAAATGCTTTAGGACATCTCCAGTCAAAAGCTCAAAGTATAATTTCTCACTAAATTATTTTAAATCAAATCATAAAAGTGAAATCATGATTAAAAAAGGTGGTGTGAATTTCTTAAATTTTTAAGATATATACCCATAAAAATCAACATATATTCTTACACTTAACGGACTACCAACAATGGTGTTTTAGTTTTGTTCCAGTGGTGGTTTTGACTTCTTTTAGAGAAGTAACACCTCTCGTTCATGCCGCCGGGTTCCAGACACTACCAAATAGTTTATTTGTTATATAAAATAGTCAGTAATAGAATATAAATTTAGATGTTATTTATCAAAATTATGTTGAACCAAAAAAAATATAAAATTATTAATCCCTGTGTGCGCGTTTAGATATATCTAGTTATGATTGTTGTCATTACAGATCAGTTGGGTCCATAAGTACAGAAACCAACCAATTATAGCTTCAAAGTTCAAATCATTACATATAGTAGCTTCTGATATTTCTTATCTTTGATAAAAGTTCTCTGAGATATTTCACAACTATTCTCATTCTTCTGAACATGGTGGCTGTCTTCTACAAAGACATGTTGAGCTGGTACTTACTAACCCTCAAGATCCGCGAAAAAATCGAAGCGGAAAACCAAGGATCCGAACCTGTTAATTAAGATCAAAGCATACTTCCTTTACGCGAAGTCACCGGATCCGAAGCAAACCAAAACAATCAGAACCACGAGCAGACTCTGTCCGAAACCGGTAAGATCGAGGTAACCAAAGAGAGTCCAAGAGAGACCAAAGATGATTGGGTGATATCAATCATAGACAAACTTGAGCAAGCAGATAGAGATGACGATACAACAATCTGGGGAAAGGTCTGTATCTACAGAGTTCCAGATTACTTGCAAGAAAACGACAACAAATCGTATGTCCCTCAGACCATCTCGCTTGGTCCGTACCACCATGGCAAGAAACGGCTCCGTTTCATGGACCGCCACAAATGGCATGCGGTCAATAGAATCTTGAAACGTACGAACCAAAATATTAAAATATATATTGATGCAATGAGAGAGCTCGAGGAGAAGGCTCGAGCTTGCTATGAAGGTCTTTTGGGTTTGAGCAGTAACGAGTTTGTCGAGATGCTTGTTCTTGATGGTTGTTTCGTGTTAGAGCTCTTCAGAGGAGCCGTTGAAGGATTTACGGAACTCGGGTAAGCCCCTAGTTCCAGTTGTTGGTTATTTCTGCTTATCTCAAATCATTTCTAACCGATATTAATTATTTTGATTTTGAATGTATTTGCGTAGATATGCACGTAATGATCCGGTTTTTGCCATGAGAGGATCAATGCATTCAATTCAACGTGATATGATAATGCTGGAAAATCAACTCCCTTTGTTCATTCTAAACCGGTTATTAGAGCTACAGCTTGGTACAAAGAGCCAAACCGGTTTAGTAGCGCAATTAGCATTTCGGTTCTTTGATCTACTAATGCCAACGGACGAGCCAATGACCAAAACCGACCAGTCAAAACTTGAGAACTATCTGGGAGAGGATAAAGCCTTTGACCCATTCGCCGACATGAGAGAGTTGCACTGCCTTGATGTTTTTCGTCGAAGTCTGCTCTGGTCTAGTCCTAAACCAGAGCCAAGGTTATGAAGAAGGAGATGGTCTCAGAAAACACGTGTGGCGGACAAAGCGCCGACAACAGCTGATACATTGCGTGACGGAACTGAAAGAGGCCGGTATTAAGTTTAGGAGAAGGAAAACCGACCGGTTTTGGGATATTCAATTCAATAAAGGTTATCTAGAGATACCGAGGCTACTTATTCATGATGGTAAGTTCACGTTATCCACACTACATCTCTTTTTAATTCCCTACCGCCATATTAGTTAGGATCATAATGTGAGATCCAGCTAGCTTGTATAAAAACAATTCTGTCACGTTTTATATATTGATTCATCATATATATATATATCAAATGGCTGAAGTAAATTTCATCAGTCATTCGTTGTCAAAAAAAAAAAAAAAATTTCATCAGTTATTCCCTATATATTGATTAATTTAAAATGATGTAAGCAATATAAAAGACTAAAAGTGTGTGCACTTTATTTTGTAGGTACCAAGTCTCTTTTCTTGAACCTTATAGCTTTTGAGCAGTGTTATATTGACTCAGCAATGACATAACATCCTACATAATCTTCATGGACAATCTAATAGACTCTCATGACGATGTGAGCTACTTACACTAATGCGGTATTATCGAACATTGGCTAGGGAGCGATGCTGAGGTTGCGAATTTGTTCAACCGATTATGTGAAGAAGTTGTTTTTGATACAGAAAATAGTTATCTATCTCAGTTATCAGTTGAGGTCAACCGTTATTACAATCAAAAGTGGAATGCTTGGAGAGCTGCCTTGAAACACAAGTACTTCAACAATTCATGGGCAGTTGTGTCTTTCTGTGCTGCAGTTATTCTACTAGTCCTCACATTGTGTCAAAGTTTTTATACTATTTATGCTTATTATAAGCCACCTTCCTAACCTTCAATATTTTAATATTTGTGTGTATTTTTTTTTTAATACCAGAGGTTTGGGGTTGAAATCTGTAATCTCCCTATTCTAAAACCACAGCATGTAAAAAGTAATTTGTGTGTATTTTTAATTGTCTTTTCAATCTAAGAACGTTGATATTGTAACATCAATACTATTAAAAGAGAAGGAGTTTGAAAAAATCTACTTAAACAAGGTTGTTGGACCTATTCATTAGAAACTTAAATATTTTATGTGAACTATTTAATGTTGTTGAAATATTTCAAATAAATCATTTTGGTAATGTTAGAAAAATTTACGGTAATTAAAAAATAACATACATATATTAACTTTCCAACTCAGAGTTAAATCAATCAATTATCCCCAACAGTTAAAACGATTACGATCTCCTTTCTTCTTTTTTTGATAAATATTGTGATTTCACAAACATACACTATCACGTTTATTTTGTAAATTACCATAAGTCAAAATCATGATGATAACACTATCATCTGAATCGTGCACTTATAAATAATATTATATTTATATTCTATATATTGCATAAGCATGCACAATCATTTATGTTTTTAGATGTTAAATGAACGATTATAATATATTGCCAATCCTACTAAGTTAAACCATACCAACATCGGTTTTAACCAAATCGGTGGTAACCATCAAAATCAAATAATTGCATAAGAAATTAAACCTTATTGCAAATATCTAATATACTATTAATGTTCCATACTTTACATTCTATATAAGATACTAAAATAATCGTAAAAAACTCAAAATTTTGATTTAATTTGGTTTGTTCTTAACAATTTTAACTTTAAAATATCAAGATTTCATTAATTATACATATATACCACATTTGTAAGAAACAATCAATAAATGAACAAAATTACATGAAAAAATAATATTCTCCGATCTACATTTAAATGAATAAATTATTAAGATTTCCTATGATACATTATACACAAAATAAATCATATTTAAACAACTTTGCACAATTTTTACAGAGAACACATCTTTAAAAATTATTAATCATGTTCGACATATTCGATTAGTTTTTTACAAAATAAATGTGTGCAATAATATTCATAGTTTTATTTATTATAAAATTCAAAATTATTTTCATAAATCGTAATAACAAGATAGTAAACTTAAGATTATATCTGTTTTGAAACCTATTTGGACATATTGTTGGAAATAGGTAATAACGATTCTCCCCTTTATTATTAGGATATTTGCACCCAAATAAATATGTAAAAATGCATAAGGTATATAGAATAAATTTAATTTATATGAGAAATAAAATAGTTTACTAAATTTTATGTACTATTAGAAAATATATGAGAAGTTTGATCAAATTTTAAATAAATATTATGAAAATTTTTTGGGTTTTTTTCCGAATCAACCGATGTTGATGCACGGGTTAACAATAGGTCTTATCAAACTTTTAATTAATGAGATTTCCTTAAATCCAAATTTTGTGGGAACGTTAAACTTCTAATAGAATGCTACATGAAGAATATAAGTCAAACTGGATTATATATGATTAACCGGTTTATTGGTTCGACCACAGATCTGGATCGATTATGAAAATACTGCTTATATTTTAATTCTGTCTATAAATCACATATGTAACCCACTAAAAAGGTTAAATAATTTATGAAAATGGAATAGTTTATTCACACTATTTAAATGTAGATGAATTATTAGAGCTTATCATTTGGTTTTGGTTCGTATTATTTCTGTTTTTTGTAAGGTTCTTCGGTTTTGGATAAATGTGTCTAGACCTATACATTATCTTATATAAAAGGCCATATAAATTTTTTATTTAGGTATACTTAAATATTTAATGTTGTTGAAATATTTCAATACTATTAAAAGAGAAGGAGTTTGAAAAAATCTACTTAAACAAGGTTGTTGGACCTATTCATTAGAAACTTAAATATTTTATTTGAACTATTTAATGTTGTTGAAATATTTCAAATAAATCATTTTGGTAATGTTAGAGAAATTTACGGTAACCAAAAAATAACATACATATATTAACTTTCCAACTCAGTTAAATCAATCAATTATCCCTAACAGTTGATAAAACGATTACGATCTCTTTTTTTTTTATAAATATTGTGATTTCACAAACATACACTATCACGTATATTTTGTAAATTACCATAAGTAAAAATCATGATGATAACACTATCATCTGAATCGTGCACTTATAAATAATATTATATTTATATTTTATATATTGCATAAGCATACACTATCATTTATGTTTTTAGATGTTAAATGAACGATTATAATATATTGCCAAATGCCAATCCTACTAAGTTAAACCATACCAACATCGGTTTTAACCAAATTGGTGGTAACCATCAAAATCAAATAATTGCATAAGAAATTAAACCTTATTGCAAATATCTAATATACTATTAGTGTTCCATACTTTACATTCTATATAAAATACTAAAATAATCGTAAAAAACTCAAAAATTTTGATTTAATGTGATTTTTTCTTAACAATTTTAACTTTAAAATATCAAGATTTCATTAATTATACATATATACCACATTTGTAAGAAACAATCAATAAATGAACAAAATTACCTGGTCATTATACACAAAATAAATAATATTTAAACAACTTTGGACGATTTTTACAGAGAACACATCTTTAAAAATTATTAATCATGTTCGACATATTCGATTAAGTTTCTTACAAAATAAATGTGTGCAATAATATTCATTATTTATTATAAAATTAAAAATTATTTTCATAAATCATAATAACAAGATAGTAAACTTAAGATCCTATACACTATCTTATATAAAAGCCCATATAAAATTTTTATTTAGTTTTGGAAAATAATATTCATTATTTATTATAAAATTAAAAATTATTTTCATAAATCATAATAACAAGATAGTAAACTTAAGATCCTATACACTATCTTATATAAAAGCCCATATAAAATTTTTATTTAGTTTTGGAAAATAAACCCGCGCTTCTCAAGCGCGGGTCAAAATCTAGTTTGGGATTTAAAAGCTATGGTATATTTTTGCCTTGATTGTAAACTTGTATTGGTATAGTTACACCTTTTCAATACGTATATGCTTGCAACATAAAAATAAAGCTTATAAAAAAGAGCATTCAAGAAAAGAATATGCAGTAAGGCTGATTGGAATCATTGGAGCAAGTAGGTTTTTGCTTTGAATGTAGTTTTTAGTTTTAACAAATTCCGAGTATAAGTTTATTTTCTTTTCAATGATTTTCTTGTATATCTTCCAAAAAGAATATATTTGTGTTCTATATATTTGGCTTTCTACAATTAAAAACAAAATTTAGATTTAATAAATATGTATAAAACATGGTCGAAAGAAAGAGATTTGGTGCTTTAGAAAAACATGGTTGTAAAAAGATTATAAAGCACTGATAAATCAAGATTATCCATTCGGATGTAATTTTCTAGTTACAGAAACGAGATAAAAATAATGTAGGTGAAGTAAAAGTATTGAACCAAAAATATTGAAGGACGTCGGTATGAGTAAGAAATTACTCAATTAGGAAAATGATGATGTTATAGGAAAAAAAGAAAGTTGAACGTTAGATATGTACATAAAATGATACAAGGCAGCTACTAGGATTACATTTGAGTTAAAGGCCCAATAAGCAATTGACCGGTAAGAGCGGGGAGACATAATAAAAGGGCGTAACAAACGGGAAACTAATCGTTAATCTCCGCACGTTCATCGGAAATTTCGAATCTGCTTCCTTCGACGTGAGCTCATCATCGTCCCCGCATTCTTCCTTCCCTCTGGTAACCCATTCTCATCTCTCGTTTATGTTCCTGCCAATGCTTGTCGAAATAGTTCCATATTGATCTAAGATGATTTGAAAGATCTGTTTCCACGAATCCGTCGTTCATAGTACGGTTTTAGATTCCTTAGTCCTTCGAAATCAATACGTTTCGTAGTCATTGCCCCTTCAGATGATTCTAGAAGCGATTGTTTGTACTGCAAAAAATGGATAACGGAAACAGTGTGGTATGAGAAAGTTGTAGTGTTAACTTTGCCTTTGTGTTTTAGGCTATTTTTTTTTTTGGTTAGCGTTGGACTGCTAAAATGGAGACTGATCCAGCTGACTCTACTACACCTATGATCTCTGAGAAAGATGCTGGCGTTGAAGAAGATCCCCTAAACTCTGCAGGAGAAACTCACAAAGACTCCACTATTACAGAAGCTTCAACTGCAAAGGTTGATACTCAGATACCTGACGCTGCTGAGCCTAGCAGTAAAACAGAGGATGATATAGTTCCATGCCCGCCAGATTCCTCACCCCCATCTATGTTTTCTTCTTGGGCCAAGAGTTTTAAGTTCCCTCAGCAAGATCCTAACAGTACAGATTCTGGGATGTCAGCTTTCACTAGGTTCACCTCTGAGCTTGGTCTGCATTTGCCTACTAAAGGGCCTGATGAGGTCGGTGAATCGCCAAACACACAAGTTGGTGCTGCTCTTGAGTCCCTCACAAAAGCTGTGGTTGATTCATCCCGTGGTGCCGTGAAAGCAATGCAGGTGAAAGCACGCCACATTGTCTCTCAGAACAAAAGAAGATACCAGGTTGTCTTTCTACTCTTTTTAGATGCTTTAAACTGTAGTGACTTGTTCAGAATGTTCTTTATTGTAAACGCAAAGCTTGTGTCAACTATCCTTTTGGTAGTGGCTGGTCCAAAATGTTTCCTAGATCAGTATCACTTACAATTGTCTATACATTGAACTTGCTTCAGGAAGGGGAATTTGATTTGGACATGACATATATAACTGAGAATGTAATCGCAATGGGGTTCCCAGCTGGAGATATAAGCTCTGGTCTTTTCGGATTTTTCGAGGTAGATAAGCTTGTCCTGGTTTGAAATATTAGTTCTTTTCTTCTGTGGGCCTTGAGCTTCTCATTGACAAAATATCATATTCAGGGACTATATCGCAATCATATGGAAGAGGTGATCAAATTTTTTGAAACTCATCACAAGGTAACCAACTAACCATTCACAAAGACTAGAAGCCTCTTTAACCGTATGAGTTTCTGACAACACCACCAGTTCGTATATGATTCATACCAGTTGGATTTTATTAGACATTACAGGCCAGACATATTGTGCTTGCTTGGCTTGTGTGTTGATCATGTTGGGGCACGTCAGATCTCTAAAGCTTTTTCTCAATATGCAGGACAAATATAAGGTCTACAACCTTTGTTCGGAGAGATTGTACGATGCTTCAAGATTTGAGGGGAAGGTATATATACAAACTTAATCGATATCGCAGACCATATATCAAGCAGGCAGTTTCAAAGCTGTAGTGTTCATCGAACTCGCTCAGCGTTTACTTCATTACGTATCTTATTTCCGTTCTTTCAGGTTGCATCTTTCCCATTTGATGACCACAATTGTCCTCCAATTCAATTAATACCATCGTTTTGTCAAAGTGCCTACACATGGTTGAAGGACGACATCCAGAACGTAGTGGTAGTTCATTGCAAGGCTGGAATGGGAAGAACCGGACTGATGATTTGTTGTCTTCTTCTATATCTCAAGGTGAAAACTTAAAATGAGTGGAGACGTTTTTTGGCCACTACACACATTCCTTCTCTGTTATGAGTCAAGTGACTGATCTTACTGGTAACTCCATTTCAGTTCTTTCCTACAGCTGAGGAAGCTATTGATTACTATAACCAAAAGAGATGTCTTGACGGGAAAGCTCTTGTTCTTCCCAGTCAGATTGTAAGTCCTGAGCTCATACCAATCTTCTTTATGTGCTTGTTTGATTCTCCCTCATCCTATTAAACGAGCTTTCATCTTTCCTTCAGCGATATGTCAAGTACTACGAACGTGTTCAAAATCAGTTTGGTGGGAAAGTTCCTCCTGAACGAAGGTATGCTTCACATATGTCTGACCAATCAGTATACCTAACCGTACTGAACAAACATTTATGTGTAGATGCATGCTCAGAGGGTTTCGCTTAATCAACTGTCCTTACTGGATCAGACCAGCCATAACCATCTCTAACCACAATGGTACATAGCTCATTTTTTCTTGTCTCTTGTATATTTCGGATACGTTTGATAATAGATGCTCTGTCTTCTTCTACCTAACAGATATACTTTTCTCAACAAAGAAACATGAGAAGACCAAGGATTTAGTGGTAGGAGGCATTGTTCTCTCACCCTCTTCTGTTGTTATTTTCTACTTCAGCATATATTAGTTTTGACATGTATAGACTTGTTTTTTTGTGCAATGTAGCCTGAAGATTTTTGGATAAAAGCACCGAAGAAAGGAGTTGTTGTCTTTGCAATTCCTGGTGAAGCTGGTCTTACAGAATTGGCCGGCGACTTCAAAATCCACTTTCAAGACAGTGATGGAGATTTCTACTGGTAAACTCTCCTTCCTTCACATCTTCCATATCAACAAGTTTCACTAACTTTCTCTGTTTCCTACACACAGTTGGCTAAATACTACACTGACTGATACCAGAACAATGCTTAAAGGTATCGACTTTGATGGCTTTGAAAAGGTAAAAGAGAGAGGTGTTTGTTTCTTTAATGATCTGCGAAACAAACCAATATCTTGCTTTCCATTTTGACATGTTTTTGTTGCGGTTTTGCAGAGAAAACTACCAGCTCCGGGGTTCCATGTCGAGATAGTAATGATAGAATCTGACAACTCCACCCAACAACAACCTCAAAGCAGCTCCGGTGCTGATTCAGGCAAAACCAAGTCTAAACAGAACAGAGATGATGATGTATTCTCCGACAGTGATGGGGAAGAGGAAGGAAACTCCAAAGCCGGCGAGTCCAGTTCAACTACCAAGAAAACGGCAGGCTCGATGCACCAAATGAATGAGCCACCAGAGACTGATGAACAGTCTGCAAGCAGGAGTGTCACAAGTTCATCGTCCTCGGGTCCTTATAATAATGCAGTGCAAGATGACTCATTGGCAGTTAGTAATATAAAAGCTATTGCTGCAGATGCATCGGTCTTCTCCTTTGGAGATGAGGAAGAAGACTATGAAAGCGACTGAGCTTGAAAAAAATTAAAGTTTCATCATATTCACAGTTACACACAAGTACAACATTTTTGTATTGCCTCCGTTTCTATATAAATATATAGTTTCTAAACTAAATTATTTTCCATGGTTTGTACCATCGGCTACTCCAATATTCATTACTCATAAATTTGATCGTCTTTCCAAAAGAAAGTCGTAATATTGGAAAGAGGACAAATAAAATATTTTATGAAATCTTACATTACAAAATATTTTATAATTATAAGGTCTTGCAAACAATTCACAAACGGGTACTTAAGTCAGGTTCTAATGGGAGATGTTGGTGAAAAGTATGATTTTCATCCTTCGAAGGAAAAGAAGAATAAATTGTACAACAAAACAATCAGGTTTGTTTTGTAAACTTTTTAGTATGTTTTTTTATAAGCTTAAAAATCCCTTTAAAGTGATTTTTTTAGTGTATAGGTAAATGATGGTGGTGAGCTTTCATTTAAGTAGAAGCACAGCAGAGTAGGACTCAAATCCATGTTTTATATATGTTTGAGTCAGATTCAGTTAATAATACTTTGTGTTGGAATATATTTTATAACTCTGTTGAATACCTATTTTGGATGAATACTATTTTAGTTTTGGCTAATTTTGGTTTGGGTTTCACCAATTGTTATAATTGTTTCAAAATAAATATAAAATTGAGCCCACCGACGCCGGCTAAAGAGACTACCTATGTTGGAGGCAGAAGCGTCGGCATAATTTTAAAAGTTAGAGAGAAATTGGCGCAACAAATTTAGAGAGTTTTTTTTTTAATTTTTTTATTTAATATATTATCAATTTAGAAATATATTATCAACTTATTATCAATTTTAGAGAGTTTAGAAATATATTATCAATTTTAGACAATTAAGTATAAAAAAGTTTAGTGTAAACTGTTTGTAATGACTAGTCATACCACTCGAACAGTCCCAAATCCAAAAAAAAGTATTTTCTTTCAAGATCTACGCATTAGAATATACCCCACTTGTCCCTACTCGTATGGGAAATAGTCATCTGCTCTGGACCTATGGTTAAGAGCATCTCCAATGTATTACTCCATTTTCTATTCTAAAATGGAGTAACTCCAAAATGCAGTTGAGTTTTACTCCAATGTATTACTCCATTTTCTACTCCAAAAGAATATTTTTAATATTATATTTATTTCAAAATTAGGAATATCACCTTTCATTTATACTATTTGCAAAACAGTTCATTTTAAATTTATATCATTTCTATTAAATACAATATTAACCACAGTTAAATTTTTATTATATAAATAAAACTACTCAACAGGGCTTTAAAAGAATACATTTAATACATTAAAAATTACATTATATAGCTTAAACACAATAATTCATCAATTCTAAATTATTCATTAGAATTATAATAATTTTCCCACAAATGATCAACTAATGCATTTCGAAGTAAAAAATGAGCTTCTTTATCTTTGATTTCTCTGAAATCGGAAAGAAACTTTTGGAACCTCACATTATTATTTTCTTCAATTTCAATTTTCCTTGACATGACTTCTCTTTCAACTTCAATTGGCACCTCGAGATCACAATCATCTTCTATTATCATGTTATGTAAGAATTTAATAATATCTTATCAGATTATTTTAATAATTTTAATGGATCCGAAAATGATTTATCGGATTATTAAGAAATTATATTTGTTGTAAGTTTTATTTTATGTTATTTCTTTTGTATGGTGCTTATCTTTCATTTTCTATATGTATGATCTTTTATGTTTTATATTATATATATATTATGTTGTATAAAAGAGTTCATCAGATGGTTATTTATATAATTAAAAATATTAACAGTAAATATTAAAATATATATAGTAAAATAATATTAATATACTTATTTATAATAATATTTTTATTAAAGACGAGGCTATTTATATAATTAAGAAATATTAACAGTAAATTTTCTAATATATAGTAAGATAATATTAATATACTTATCTATAATAATATTTTATTAAAAATGAGGCTATTTATATAATTAAAAAATATAACAGTAAATTTTATAATATATATAGTACTTATTTATAATAATATTTTATTAAAAATGAAACATATATAAATATGGAGGACTATTTGATAAATAAAAAAGTTCAACTCCATTTTGGAGTAATGAGTTGGTTTACTCCATATTTGGAGTAATCATGTTTGTTACTCTATTTTGGAGTGAGTTTTGGACTAGGGTTGGAGAAGATTTTACTGCAAAATGGAGTTTGGAGTGGGTTTTGGAGTGGGGTTGGAGATGCTTTAATATACATTGCTTTCCTTTACTAGTATGAGGAAAGATTTGGAGAGCGCATTGTGCTGACAGAGAGTCGAATCAGCCACCTCCAACAGTCATATACAAACACTTCTCAAACTGTTTAGGGTAAAGCCCTAAATCCATGAAATCCTACTCCAGCATGGATCTACGGGTATCGGCATACCCCGTTTGCGCTTACTCGTATGCGGAATACCCTTATGGCTTAGACGTACGGTTAGTATACATCCCTTGCCTCTACTCATATAAAGAAAGATTTATTTAGAGAGGTATAGTGCCACCACGGTGATAGAAAGTTGAACTAGCGACTTCTTGCATTCATATGTGAGAAGTGTGATCACTTAGATACAAGCACTTCTGTGTAGGAGATGGGTTATACCCCTCCACAAGGCCCATCAAATGAAGAAACTTAGCCCAATATGACAATATACTCGGCCTACCGGGTAACACCAAAACGATTCGGCATGAGACGCATTTAGTAGCGTGACTAAAGGTATTCTAGAAGAGTCGGCGGAAGTACGATTTACCCGAACTACTAAACGGGCCTAGCAATAATAAGGCCCAACAAGGCTCGGGTAAACTAGGGCGAACACGAAGATTGGGTCTATAAAAGGAGAGAGGCAGCAAAGGGAAAAGGGATCCGGAATTCGACATACTCACTTGGCGGCTAGATCTAGGGTTTCTTAGCGACTAGGTGGTTAGATCTAGGGTTTACTCACCCTCTCGTTTACTCACCTTCCTGTTTAGTCACCTTCCCGTTTACTCACCATCTTGTACTTCCGGCTAGTCCGCCTCTTTACTCTTCTCTTTGTAACTCCTTGTTCAGATCTAATAAAAACGTCCTTGTTCGCCCTCATCTCTCTCTTTATATTGTTTCAAACCATTTTCACCTCAAACATTCTGAAAATCTTTTATTGTTTGTGTTTATTGTTTTGTAGGTTCTTAAATGATTCGAGTGACTTTTGTAGACAAGGAGATTTCAAGTTCGTGGATCATTTGGTCTGGATTTGTAAGACATAACTGCTTGGTGTGGTATATGTGCTTTGTTTGTTAACGGCTTCTCTATCCTTCTTAAGCTCTAGCTCTTGGCTCCAAATTGTTGCTGGTCGGGTGTGTCACTATGTGACCCGTTTATCTTGTCATTGTTGGCTCTCCAAATTTTGAGGTTTGTTTTTTTCTTCTTGTTGTTGCTCTCAGTTTGTCTTTTCTAGACTGGGAATCGATTTGCGTTAGTTTACTTCTAAGATTTGGTTGATAGCGTTTATATTAACATTGGTTTTAGAAAGCTTTACGTAGATGTTCATACTAGTATTTGATTCCCTCATGATGTTTTGAAGGTTGCGGATGTTTTTTTTTGTAGATTTCTGGTCTGGCAATTGACTATCTAAATATTATATCTGTCTCACATTTGGGTACCGGTTAATATTAGGTGCCTAAGATCAGGTTTAAATCATTTTTCGATAATCTTATAAGTTTTAGTTCCTATTTTAAGTTTTGGATCTTATGTTTTGTAATTTTTCTTTTTATTTTATTTTATTTGTGTCATGTCAATTTATGTATTTCATCCATATAATTCAACTTAATCAATACTATTTGAAATGACCTACCCCTGTTCGAAAACGTGGGCAAGGCAAGGCGGCCACGTTCTCGGCGTAGAGGCACTTGGCGGCTACTTACCGTAGCGTTTAGATCCTGTGCGGTGAAAAACTCTGAATTTGGTTCACTTTTCAAGATTAAAATAAATTTCTACATGATATATCTATCATATTTTGATATAAACACTAGATAGCACAAGAAATTCGAGGAAAAAGGTGAAGAAAATAAAAAGTAAAAAAAAAACAAAGTTTTGCATGCACAGGAAGTCCAACTTAGGTTCTTAAAGGAAGCAATCACACTTTCACCACTATACCAACCCGTTTCTTTTTGTTTTTCATTGTAAAAATATTATATATACTATATAAATATATTAAAATTATTAAAAATTAATATCCGATTAATCTATGATTAATCCCCGATTTTTTAGCAACTCGCTAGGCAGAGATCGAACACCCGACTAGCGCCTAACGCGTTTTTAAGGCGTTTTATAACAAGGATTTTGATTCAACTGTGCAGCTCTCTCGTGGAGCTATAATTTTGAATAGAACATAAATTTAGATATAAAGGCATGATCCCTTGTGTGACAAAAAAAAAAGGCATGATCCCATCACCAGCCTATTTTTATTTGACCTTTTGCAATATTAGTTTTTCATTATCTTTTTTTTTTCCTGACATCAAAAGGTTGATCTATTACTCAAGCTTGAGGTGGTTTAGGTATCCAGACCGAAATAGAACAACCAACGTACAAAAGATCTCGATAAAAGGCACGAGCCGATTTAGCTAAAGAATCAGCAACAACATTTTGTATCCTTGGAACATAGGAAATCTTGAAATCGAGGAAGCAGATCCGCAGCATCGATAGCTTTTCCAATTCCGTTGAGAAACTTGGGCAGTCTTGAGGATTCCTAAGCATCGCTATCATATCTTTACAATCTGTCCCAAAACTCTGACATGGCGAATGTTGAAACATGTTCTCCATTGCCCACCGCAGTGCTTCCAGCTCAGAATGCAGAGTAGACTCCACTCTAATAAAGTTACGCATATCCATCAACTAGCTATTTCCCCTACTATCAGTCCAAACCCAACCACATCCACTGAACTGAGCTGTAGAGGTCCAAGAGCCGTCTACCAGGCAAATATTCCCCAGACGTATGGCCTGGTTTTCCGCATCTATGGTCTCATGAGAAGATAGAGTAACCTGTTCTTTAGCTTTAAACCAGGCTTGACATTCGCTCTCAG